TCAAAGAAGGGAAACACACAAACTCTACTACTAAAAAAGTGACCGGAGTTAACAACCACTGGCCATTAATATCACTTAATGTCAATGGGCTCAACTCACCTATAAAAAGGCACAGGATAAGAGATTGGATACGAAAATAGGATCCAACATTCTGCTGTTTACAAGAAACATACCTCAACAACAAAGACAGGCACCTACTCAGAGTGAAGGGCTGGGAAAAGGTTTATCAATCAAATGGACCTAAGAAACAAGCAGGTGTGGCCATACTAATTTCTAACAAAGTTGACTTCAAACTTAAATCGATCAAAAGAGATGGAGAGGGACATTTTATACTCATAACAGGAACAATTCATCAGGATGAAGTCTCAATCCTGAATATCTATGCCCCTAATATAAAAGCACCTACTTGCGTAAAAGAAACATTACTAAAATTCAAGGCAGCCATCAAACCGCACACACTAATAGTAGGAGATTCATCACTCCTCTCTCACCAATGGACAGGTCAATCAGACAGAAACCTAGCAGAGAAATAAGAGAATTAATAGAGGTAATGAATCAAATGGACTTAACAGACATCTATAGAATATTCCACCCTAATAGGAAGGAATATACCTTCTTCTCTGAAGCTCATGGAACCTTCTTGAAAATTGACCACATACTCGGTAACAAAGCAAACTTACACAGTTACAAAAAAATATTAGTAACCACTTGTGTCTTATCAGATCACCATGGATTAAAGTTAGAATTCAACAATAATGCTACCCCCAGAAAGCATACAAAGTCATGGAAACTGAACAGTCAACTATTGAACCATACCTGGATTAAGGAAGAAATAAAGAAAGAAATTAAAGTCTTCCTGGAATTCAATGAAAATAAAGAAACAACATACTCAAACTTATGGAACACTATGAAAGCAGTACTAAGAGGAAAGTTCATACAACTAAGTGCCCACTTAAAACAGAGAAAGCACATATTGGAGACTTAACAGCCCACCTGAAAGCTCTAGAAAAAAAAGAAGCAGACTCACCTAGGAGGAGTAGAAGACTGGAAATAATCAAACTGAGGGCTGAAATCAACAAAATAGAAACACAGAAAACAATCCAAAGAATCAATAAAACAAACAGGTGGTTCCTGGAGAAAATCAACAAGATTGATAAACCCCTATCCAAACTAATTAAACGGCAGAGAGAGAATATGCAAATTAATAAGATCAGAAATGAAAAGGGGGACATAACCACAGACACAGAGGAAATTCAGAGACTCATTAGATCTTATTACAAAAGCCTGTATGCCACAAAACTGGAAAATGTAAAAAAAAAATGGACACGTTTTTAGATAAATACCATATACCAAAGTTAAACCAGGACCAGGTGAACAATCTAAATAGACCAGTTAGTCGCGAAGAATTAGAAGCTGTTATCAAAAACTTCCCTACCAAAAAAAGCCCAGGACGAGATGGTTTCAATGCGGAATTCTACCAGAACATTCCAATAATACCTAATACCTACACTCCTTAATGTATTTCACAATATAGAAACAGAAGTATACCAAATTTCTTTTATGAAACTACAGTTATTCTGATACCAAAACCACACAAAGACTCAACCAGTAAAGAGAATTACAGGCCAGTCTCACTCATGAACATCGACGCAAAAAGCCTCAACAAAATACTGGCAAACCGTATCCAAGAACACATTAGAAAAATTATCCAGTTTGATCAAGAAGGCTTCATCCCAGAGATGCAGGGCTGGTTCATCATACCAAAGTCTATCAATGTAATCCATCATATAAATAAACTGAAAGAAAAAAACTATATGATCATTTCATTAGATGCTGAAAAATCATTTGAGAAAATTCATCATCCCTTTATGATAAAAGTATTGGAGAGATTAGGGATACAAGGGTCATACCTAAATATAATAAAACTATATACAGCAAGCCGACAGCTAACATCAAATTAAATGGAGAGAAACTCAAAGCCATCCCACTGAACTCAGGAACATGACAAGGCTGTCCACTCTCGCCATACCTCTTCAATATGGTGCTTGAAGTTCTAGCAATAGCAATAAGACAACATAACGGGATCAAGGGGATTCGAATTGGAAAGGAAGAAGTTAAGCTTTCGTTATTTGCTGATGATATGATAGTGTACATAAGCGACCCCCAAAACTCCACCAAAGAACTTTTACAGCTGATTAACAACTTTAGTAATGTTGCAGGATACAAGATCAACTCCAAAATATCAGTCACCCTCTTATAAACAAAGGATATGGAAGCAGAGAGGGAAATCAGGGAAGCTTCATCTTTCATGATAGCCACAAACAGCATAAAACATCTTGGGGTAACTCTAACCAAGGAAGTGAAAGATCTATTTGACAAGAACTTTAAGGCATTGAAGAAAGAAATTGAAGAGGATACCAAAAAATGGATGGACCTCCCTTGCTCTTGGATTGGGAGGATCAACATAGTAAAAATGGCAATTCTACCAAAGGCAATTTATAGATTCAATGCAATCCCCATCAAGGTCCCATCAAAATTCTTCACAGATCTTGAGAGGACAATAATCAACTTTATATGGAAAAACAAAAAACCCAGGATAGCCAAAATGATCCTATACAATAAAGGAACTCCTGGAGGCATTACCATCCCTGACTTCAAACTCTATTACAGAGCTACAGTAATGAAAACAGTGTGGTACTGGCATAAAAACAGGGAAGTCGACCAATGGAATCGTATAGAAGACCCAGATTTTAACCCACAAACCAATGGACACCTCATTTTCGATAAAGGAGCTAAAAGTATACAACGGAAGAAAGAAAGCATCTGCAACAAATGCTGCTGGCAATACTGGATGTCAATCTGTAGAAGAATGAAAATAGACCCATATCTATCTCCATGCACAAAACTCAAGTCCAAATGGATTAAAGACCTCAATATCAGTGCGAACACACTGAACCTGATAGAAGAGAAAGTGGGAAGTACCCTACAACAGATGGGCACAGGAGATTGCTTCCTAGCTATAACCCCAGCAGCACAGACATTAAGGGCAACATTGAATAAATGGGACTTCCTGAAACTGAGAAGCTTCTGTAAAGCAAAGAACACTGTCACTAAGACAAAAAGGCAACTCACTGACTGGGAGAAGATCTTCACCAACCCCGCAACAGACAGAGGTCTGATCTCCAAAATAAATAGAGAACTCAAGAAACTAGACTTTAAAATGCTAATTAACCCAATTTAAAAATCGGGCACTGAACTGAACAGAGAATTCTCAACAGAAGAAGTTCAAATGGTCAAAAGACACTTAAGGTCATGCTCAGCCTCCTTAGCAATCAGTGAAATGCAAATCAAAACAACTTTGAGATATCATCTCACACCTGTCTGGCTAAAATCAAAACCACCAATGATAGCCTTTGCTGGAGAGGCTGTGGAGGAAGGAGTACCCTCATCCATTGCTGGTTGGAATGCAATCTTGTGCAACCACTTTGGACTTCAGTGTGGCGGTTTCTCAGGAAATTCGGGATCAACCTACCCCTGGACCCAGCAATACCACTCTTGGGAATATACCCAAGAAATGCCCTATTATATGACAAAAGCATTTGTTCAACTATGTTCATAGCAGTAGTATTTGTAATAGCCAGAACCTGGAAACAACCTAGATGCCCTTCAATGGAAGAATGGATGAAGAAAGTGTGGAATATATACACATTAGATTTCTATGCTGCGGTAAAATCAATGGCTTCTCGAATTTTGCATGCAAATGGATGCAAATAGAAAACACTATCCTGAGTGAGGTAACCCAGACCCAAAAATATGAACATGGGATGTACTCACTCATAATTGATTTCTAGCCATAAATAAGGGTCACGGAGTCTACAATTGCTGAACCTAAAGAAGCTAAATAAGAAAGTGTACCCAAGGAAAAACATATAGTTATCCTCTTGGCTATGGGAAGTAGACAAAATTGGCGGGGAGAATATTGGGATCTTGGGGGTGGGGTGGGATGGGGGTTAAGGGAGATGGGGAGAGAAAAGTGAGAAGGGGATGATGGGGGGAACTTAGTGAAACAGGATGATAGGGATAAAGGAAGGTTGGATAGGGGAGCACGGAAGCACAATTTTTAGTTCAGGGAGCCACCTTAGGGTGGGTAAGAGACTTGAAACTAGAGTGGCTCCCAGGAGCCCAAGGTGATGTCCCCAGTAACTTCCTTGGGCAGCTGAGGATAGGGAACCTGAAATGACCCTATCCTATAGCAATACTGACGAATATCTTGCATATCACCATAGAACCTTCATCTGGTGATGGATGGAGATAGAGACAGAGACCCACACTGGAGCACTGAACTGAGCTCCTAAGGTCCCAATGAGGAGTGGATGGAGGGACAAGATGAGCAATGAAGTCAAGACCACGAGGGGTGCACCCACCCACTGGGACAGTGGGGCTGATCTATTGGGAGCTCACCAAGGCCAGCGAGACTGTGACTGAAAAAGCATGGGATAAAACTGGACTCTGAGCATAGCGAACAATGAGGGCTGATGAGAAGCCAAGGACAATGGCTCGGGGTTTTGATCCTACTACATGTTCTGGCTTTGTGGGAGCCTAGCCAGTTTGGATGTTCACCTTCCTAGATGTGGATGGAGGGGGGAGGACCTTGGACTTTCCACGGGGCAGGGAACCCTGACTGCTCTTTGGACTGGAGAGGGAGGGGGAGAGGAGTGGGGGGAGAGGAGTGGGGGGAGGGGACGGGGAGAAGGGTGGGAGGAGGGGAGGGAAATGGGAGGCTGGGGGGAGGCGGAAGCTCTTTTTTCTTTTCTTTTTTCCTTTTCTCAATAAAAAAGGGGGGGCGCATCTGGCAGGAGGCGCAGGCAGGCGGAGTGGCAGAGGGAGCGCTGCAGTTCTGGGTGGCCCCTCAGGCGCAGGGAGCACATGCAGCTGGCTCCCCCCACCCCTGCTCTGTGGACACTCGCTCTGCCCCCAGACCCGGTCGGCGCGCGCCCCGAATGAGTGAAGAAGCATGTGGAACCCGCAGTCAGAAGCGAGCCCTTGACCCCCACCTCAGGGAGGATGATGTGGAGAGCAAGAAAATGAAAATGGAGAGAGCACCATCAGAGCTGACCGTGGACGGAGACACCAGGGTGATGCCTGAGTCAGGTGTAGGCCCAGCCCAGGGGTTGCTGAGGACAACAGAGACCATGCCCACAGGATCAGGCGAAGGGCTGGTAGGAGTTGGGCCTGTGGACATGCGCACCTCACACAGTGACATTAAATCTGAGAAGAGACCTCCCTCACCTGATGTGATCGTGCTCTCTGACAGTGAGCAGCCATCAAGCCCAAGGGTGAATGGGTTGACCACAGCATCCTTGAAGGATACCAGCACTGAGGCGCCCCTGAAAAGCAGCCCAGAAGAGCGAGAGCAGATGATCAGGCAGCTGAAGGAGGAGTTGAGGCTCGAGGAAGCAAAGCTGGTTCTGTTGAAGAAGCTACGATAGAGTAAAATACAAAAGGAAGCCATAGCGCAGAAGCCTGCAGCTTCCTCAGGGACCTCCGTGACCACCCCTCCCCCACTCGTCCGGGGTACTCAGAACATTCCTGCTGGCAAGACATCACTTCAGACCTCTTCTGCTCGAATGCCCGGCAGCATCATCCCACCGCCACTGGTCCGGGGTGGGCAGCAGGTGTCTGCCAAGCTGGGACCACAGGCCAGTTCCCAAGTAGTCATGCCAACACTTGTCAGGGGGACCCAGATTCACAACGTCAGACAGCACCCCTCCACAGGGCCACAACCCCTCCTCCTAGCCCCCCGCGCCTCAGTGTCCAGCATGCAGATTCAGGGACAGAGGATCATCCAGCAGGGACTTATCCGTGTTGCCAATGTCTCTAATACCAGTCTGCTTGTCAACATCCCTCAGCCCACTGCATCCTCACTGAAGAGGACAACAGTTTCCTCTGCTCAGGTCAGCTCCACCCCAACCAGTGTGGCCTCTGTGGTTGCATCTGTTGAGTCTCCAGCCAGCCGACAGGCTGCTGCCAAGCTAGCGCTATGCAAGCAGCTGGAGAAGACATTGCTTGAGATTCCACCTCCCAAGCCCCCTGCTCCAGAAATGAACTTCCTGCCCAGTGCTGCCAACAATGAGTTCATCTACCTGGTTGGTCTGGAGGAGGTGGTGCAGAATTTGCTGGAGACGCAAGCGGGAAGGATCTCTGCCAGCACAGCTTCTGCTATGTTATCCCGGGAGCCCTACATGTGTGTTCAGTGCAAGACCGACTTCACATGCCGCTGGCGGGAGAAGGGTGGAGCTGTTTTGTGTGAGACTTGCATGATGTCCAACCAAAAGAAAGCACTCCAGGTGCATCACACCAGGCAGCTAAAGGCTGCCTTCATGAAAGCACTGCAGCAAGAGCAGGAGATGGAGCAGCGGCTGCTGTAGCAGGGTGTGGGTACGGCCAGCACCAAGGCTGAGGCTGCAGCCCCACATCCCACGCTGAAGCAGATCATAAAGCCCCGACGTAAATTGGCTTTCAGCTCAGGAGAGGCCGGTGACTGGAGTAACGGGGCTGTGCTACAGGCTTCCAGCCAGCTGTTCCGGGGCTCAGCCACAACACCTCGTGGCGTTCTGCACACATTCAGCCAGTCACCCAAACTGCAAAATGCAGCCTCAGCTACAGCCCTGGTAAACAGGACTGGCAGACATTCCGAGAGAGCTGTGGGCACCAGCAAGGGCACCACCTCCAACTGGAAAAAGACACCCCTGAGTACAGGTGGGACCCTTGCCTTTGTCAGCCCGAGCTTGGCAATGCACAAGACCTCTTCAGCTGTAGACCGTCAACGAGAATACCTCCTAGACATGATCCCTCCACGCTCCATTCCCCAGTCAGCCACATGGAAATAATGGGAGCCGGCCCAGCTGAGGACAGGCCCTTTGCTCTCCACGGCTCCTGGTCTAGGACACACAGACCGCCCTCCTAACAAGTTGCCCGAGACAGCTCAGGCCTTGGCTATTTAGCCTTGTGGTGGTCAGAAGAGTGTGCCACCATGGTGCCCAGGATCAGAACCAAGGACTTTCCCTGTGGGCCTTCCCTTCCTTTTAGCCTTTAGTTTGCCCGACACCAGCAGAAACTCGGACCTTGGGGCCAGCTCTGCCTGGCCAGCATGGGTGGGAACTCACCCTGGACACTGTGACACGCCCAGGCCAGGCTGGCACCAGGGGCTCCCAAAGTTGAACTGGAGTTTGTTTTCTTTCAGCTTTTCCCATCTTCACTCCCCAGTCTCTGCCTCCTCATGGCCATCTATAGGTTGAAGTTTGGGTTTTTGTGTTTTCTTTTTTAATCACTTCACGATGATGGAATGAAAAGTAAACTGTGTAGACCCAGGGTCCCTGTTGTACACAGTGTAGTCCCTTGCCCCAGAGGGTGCTCTGAGTGGCAGCACGCAGGGATGGCGGGGTGCCACTGTGCCTCCAGTTGTATCTGTTGCTGCTTGCTACAGCCCCTGGCTTCCACGTTTAGAACAAATCGCAGCCCAGACTTTGCCAGAGACTCTAAGGTTGCAGAGGGATGCTGGGCCCACCGCTGGAACCAGATCTGGCTGCTGGGTTATTTTTGTGCTTTATTTTATTAAAATTTCTTTCCTTTCTCTCTTCGTTTTGATGGACACAATCTCAAGGTGCCCAACAGGCACCCAGGTAGGCGCAGACAGACCCGTCTACCCTGGGGTCAGCCGGGTGGGTTCACCTCTGGCTCCTCAGTCCACAGGGATGTTTTTGAAAGGCCAGGTCTACTTTAGTTTTATTTTCTTTGCTCTTCTGCCCCCCACTCTTTAAAAATTGGTTCCACGGTGAAAGGGCAGAAGCAGCTCACAACAGGGCGGCCTGCAGCAATCTGCAGGGGTCCCGAGCAGCCCTGGCTTCCTTCAACACAATAGTTAGGGACTTTAATTTAAACCCTTGTTCTGCAGACCACCACCCTCTGCAGACACGCCCCGCCTCCTCCTAATAAAGGCTCATTTAACCCCCCCCAAAAAAATACCAACCCAAATTCCCTCTTCCTCCCCTCCTCCCACTTTCTCCACACACCCTCTCACTTCACCCCCTCCAGCCCTAAGAGAGGGCAAGACACCCTTCCCTGTGGAAAGTCCAAGGCCCTTCCTACTACATCTATGTTGAGCAAGGTATATATCCAAAGAGAATAGGATCCCAAAAAGCCAGTACTGATGCTGATATCTTCATATTTTATTCTTTACCTTTGTAATTTTTGTGAATTTTAGTATGTCTTAATTTTTAAGTTGGCCCCTTAACACATTTATTATAATGCTAAATTATTTGAAAACTGTTTAAACAAATGTTTTATCATATATATTTTTACAGCAGCCAAGCCCAAACTTTATTTAGGTGCTTTACCTGGCCTATAGCATGTGGACCTGGCTTTTCTATGTATACTCCAGTGGTACTTACGTGGTGATGGGTTTCTCGTTACCATCTGAAAAGGGAAAACATTTGGGTTTCATACGTGTTGATACCATACTTTATGAAAAAGAGTCATCTATTTATTGATTTTTCCATGACTTTCTAGATGGAGGTAGATTTGTTATTTCTGAACAATAGTTAAAAAAGCCAGATTCTCTACTGTGCCACTTCTGACATTATCTCATGAGGAGAAAGGCTATACTAATCTTAGAGTTAGTATAAAACACCAAAATGCTCACATATTATTTACTGACACTGTTGCCCTCTACTTCTCTTCACTTTTCAGTGTCTTCTTGCATATATTTATACATATATTTTTATTTGTACACACAAATTCTATATGAATATTTTTGTTATTCCTTGTGGTAGGAGAAGTATGGTAACAACTGTCCAAAACAAAAGCTAGTCTCAGTGGATTATCACTTAATCAATTTTATCCCTGTGTAATATTACTGTTGACAACATTTTGTATAATTTGATATCAAAGTGTCAAATATTAGACACCATTGAGGGAGTCATTATAGGGTTAGCAGAAGCCTGGTTCTAGAGAAATTCCCAGGTATCCACAAGGATGACCCCAGCTAAGACCCTAAGAACTAGAGGGGAGGGGGCCCAATTTTGACTTGCTCTGTAGTCAAGCTGATGGACATTTTTAAATCACCATAGAATCTTCATCCAGAAACTGATGGAAACAGAGGCAGAGACCTGTGTTGGAGCACTGGATTGGGCTCCCAAAGTCCAATTGAAGAGTGGGAGGAATGAGAATATGAGCAAAGAGGTGAAGACCATGGTGGGTTCACCCACTGAAATAGTCTACGTGAGCTAATGGGAGCTCACCAACTCTACTCATACTGGAAAGGAACAAGCATAGAACCTAACTAGTCTCTCTGATTGTGGTTGACAGTTACATTGCTGCGACAGACTGAGGAGCACTGACTGGCAATGACACAAGGATTTATCCCTACTGCATATACTGGGTTTTTGGAAACCTATTCTCTTTGGATGGATACCTTGCTCAGTCTAAAAATAGTAGGGGAGGGCCTTGGACCTTTCTCAAAGCAATTTACCTTACCTTCTCTGAGGATTGGATGGGAGTGAGGTGGGAGGGTGTGTGGAGGGAATGGAAAGAGGAGAGGGAGTGGGAACTTGATTTGATTTTTTTTAAAAAAATCTAATAAAAAATAAAAAAATGGAGACCTTTAAAAATAACAAACAACTATAAAAAATAAACCTAACTGTGAAAAATATAATAAGCAATATAGAATCTTATATAAGCAAGTGATTCAAATTAATCAAAATAGATGTATCAAAAATTAATTTCTCTGAGGAAGGTGCAATCAAAATGCATTTCAAAGACTGAATAAAGCTAAATATATCAGCAACATGGTATAAACTCTTCTAAGTAGAAAAATAATTTTATAATGTTATCCTTCAACCTTACAGAGTTAATGAACTTAGGAAAACCTGAGAGAGGAGCTAGAATAATATCAATTCTCAATACAACATGAAGTTAAAGAGATACAAAACTTGGTACTGGCAAGATGATTTATTGAGTAAAGTGCTTGTTTTACAATCATAAATTAAGACCTTGGTTTGGATCCCTTCATGCAAAAGTGGTAGAACACATACCCATAATGCTAGTGCTAAAGTGATTGGAACCAGGAAGGTCCCAGGAGTTTACCGGTCAATGAGGTTAGCCTAAACAGCAAGCCCTAGGTTCAATGAAAGATCCTGTCATAAAAATAAAGTAGTAAAACAATTGAGAAAGGCACGCTGATACTAATCTATGGCCTCAAAATGAGTTTCTATGGTGGGTTAGTGAACCTGCATGAACACTTGCATATACAACACATGAATACACCACACACACACACACACACACACACACACACACACACACACAGAGAGAGAGAGAGAGAGGGGGGGGGGGAGGGAAGGAGGGAGTGAGGGAGAAAGGAGAGGGAGTGAGGGAGAGAGGGAGAGAGGGAGGGAGGAAAGGAGAGGGAGAGGGAGGGAGATAAACTAAAACTACTCATTGCCATTTTGTTGATGTTTTTCTTTTTGCCCTGTGTAATATTTGGACATGCAGTTTTGAAGAAACTAACAGCTAGAATTAGGCAGTAGAATAACATGTCTGAATATGAACTTCAAAATTTTTGCTCAGGGAAAATTTTTGAAACAAAGGAGGACTTCATTAAAGCCATTGATAAAATAAAGGAGTGATGAATCACCAAAAACTTTTAATATTTTAATAATTTAACTTTGGGTAGAAAACATGATTGGTTGGGTTCTGCTCCTATGGAAGCCTTTAAGTCAGAGCCATATAGGAAAATGTTAGTTCAGTAATCCATTCATATATAATAAGAGGCATAATTTCTACTGAGACCCTTTGAAGTAAAAACAGCAACCATAAAAAAATTAGCTCTTTCTGAAGTGCTAATTTTATAAATGCAGAACTACACAGTAATAGCAAATGCCATATTGAGTTTTAATGAAGGCACAAAGATCCATAAACCATCACTCAGGCCAAGTGAAGTGACATATACTTTACTTTTTTATTATATTTGTGCAGAATATAGGAAAGGCATTCTTCTTTTAAAAATCCTTTCAGTTTATTTTCCAGGGGATCTTAGATTAAGGTAGCAAACAAAGCAAGAAGAAAATTATAGCCTTAAGAACTGCCAGACTCTTTGAAAAGACTGCTGTTTTCTTTTGTATATAGTTAAGTGCCAAAGCTATAATTTCCCATTTACTTTCCTTTGTTATTGTATACATGGGGCATTTACTCCAATTTGATTCCATTTGCTCTTTGTCAGAGGAAGTCTTCCCACAGACTCATATTAAGTGCAGTTTCTTTTTAAAAACAAGTTACAAAAAAGCTTTCCTGCCACTCTTTCTTTGACATTGGACATTTCCTATTACAGAGTTCAGTTCTCAGATGATTGAAAGCCTGTGTTATTGAGTTCTAATGGATTGTGTTTTAAACTGCTTTAGTTTAGAATAGCACAGCCTGTAGATTGTCAAGGGCACATGCTACGAAAGGATCAAGTTCTACTGTCATTGTTGCCAGAGTACCTATTATGAAATCTTTCAGTATATATTTTGTGAGGTTGGGTGCTTTATGTGAACAAAGAACCATGAAACAAAGGTGAGCTGGTGGGCCTAGATTCATGCAACTCAGAATTGGGTAGTTTGAACATCAACTGAAGCACACTTTACCTACCTATTTATTTGCTCATTTGCTTATTTAATAAGCTGGTATTGACCTCTATATCAATTTTCCTCCAACATTTTTTTTATTTAAATATTTTGGAATTGAGGAAATGACTTGTTTTTAGATTGTATTTAAATTACATTTTTTCTTTCTCCTTACTTCCTCCAAACCATGCTATATACCCCCTCTTTTTTCTTCAAATTTATGAACTTTTTATAA